AGAGAGGGAGAGAAACGGAACAACGGATAGTCCATATATATGCATACATGTATGTACGGATGTACGTTTGCATGTCTATATAGCTATCTATATACATATATATATGAGAGAAAGAGAGAGAGAGAGAGAGAGAGAGTTCGAAAAACACACAAGTATTGAGAAAGAGAAAGAGTAAGAGAAAGAGAGAGAGAGAGAGAGCGAAACAAAGAAATCTATATATAATAGAACCACGCGCGCTTCGCGCGCGCTTAGGTTCTAGCTAGGAGGCGAGCTTGAGTCAACAAAAGTCGCAGGGAAGGGGGCAGGGGGAAGAAGGCCAGAGAGCGCTGAAGGATACAAATACTGGAACCCTCTTGTGATTTTGTGGGGGGCCTCGTCCGGCCGCTCGCTGGGAGTTTGACGTAGCTTCTCGGGAGCCTCTGAACCTGTCGGGGGCCTCCTGGAAGCAGGTTCGAAGCATTTTGGGGGCCGATTTGGGGCTTCTCGGGGCCTCCTTTGGGCCTCTTGGGGGTCTCCTGGGGCCTCTTGAGGGGCCTCCTTGGGGCCTCCTGGCGGCCTCTTGGGGCGGAAGGCTCGAGCTTGCGGTTCGTGGTCCCCCTCTGGGCCCCCTCTTGGGCCCGTCTTGGGGCCCTCTTGGGCCATCTTGGGCGCCTCTTGGGCCGTCTTGGGGCCCTCTTGGGCTGTCCTGGGGCCCTCTTGGAAGCTTCTTGGGCCGTCTTGGGGCGGTCTTGGGCGCCTCTTGGGCCGTCTTGGACGCGGTGAAAGTCCAAGAGGCGAACATGCGAAAAATATACGTTTTCCCATAGGAATGGCACGATTTTTGCTTCTTGGGCCTCTCTTGGGCTGCCTCTCGGAGCGTCTTGGAGGCTTCTGGGACCTTCTTGGTGTCATGACAGGCGTCTTGGAAGGCATCTGGAGCCATCGGAGCGCGTTCCGAAGCCGCCTGCGAACGATCTTGGACGGCGTCCGGCGGTCCGACGAGCCTCCGGGCCCCCCGGGGCCCACATTTGTGGTCGGGGTCCCGGCCCCGGGCCCCCGGACCCGGTGCGCCGTTATATGTGTATATATATATATATGTATATATATATATATGTATATATGACCATCAACCCGCGCGCGGGTCATCATGCTACGCTTGCCTCTGCAGTCGAGAAGACGCGTGCACTTTTATCACTCGGAGCCGCTATCCGACCAAGGGGAAGGCGGTGAACACGCGCCTTCGAAGGCATCGATGCCTCGGTGTGATCATCCTCTCCGAGCAACCCTCCGAAGGCACACCCACCACACCAAAGGTGTTTGACGTAAGTTCAAGCACCCACCAGGCGCCCTGCTCAGTGCGGCCATGGGCGACTTTGAGTTCTACGCCCCCAAGCTGTAACCACTGCGGGTGCTCATCGCGCGCACCCTGAGCTTGGAAACGAAGACCGTCGGTTCCCTTCGCATCCACCCATGGCGGCTTCCTGGGGCCTCATTGTGCTGCTGGGAGACTTCCTGGTGCAGCCTGGGAGCCTTCCGGGACTGCCGTGTGGCCCCCTTGGAACTCCTGCACGACTCCGGGAGCCTCCTGGGGAAGCTCGGGGGAGGCCCCCCGGAAGGGGAGGCGCCACTTGGGGGGCCCTGGGCGCCCCGTGTGTGCTGCGGCCTGGGGCCTCTGGGGCCTGGCTTTGTGGTGCTCGGGTGGAAAGAAGGTGGTGGTGCCAGGAGGTCAGATAGAGGAGGCCAGATAGCAGGACGAGTAGACAAGGCGGGAGCAAAATCTGCTGACCCTTCGGCGTGTGGAAGACGCTGTCGTCGTCTTCGTCGTCGTCGTCGTCGTCGAGGTCACTGGGTCCTCATCTTCCAGCGCGCCAGCCGAAGTGAAACCGAACCGAATCTTCAAGCGCGACAGGCAAAGCGAAACTGAACCAAACTTTAGTAACGTCGTGGTTGACTCGTTGACTCGGAGGGAAGCTCCTTCCCTTTGATGATCCCGTCCCCCCCCCCCGGGGGGATGGGGTCCTGGAGAGTGGTGGGTGGGGGGCCCAGGCCCAAAACACGCCCCAAGACAGCCTCAAGAGGCACCCACGACTGTCCAAGAGGGCCCCGAATCGCCGAACGATCGGTCCAAGACGCCACATATGGCCTCCTCACGGCCCCAGCGGCTGTCAACACGCTCGAAGCGGCCTCTGAGACAACACCAAGAGGGCCCCAACAGGCAAATTGTCGTGATTTCCCTGACGCGTTTTCGGCTCTCTCGTCTGTTCGGCTTCCCGACGCCCCAAGACGGCCCAGGATATCACAAAGGTCGGCACAAGAGGCCCCCAAGAGGTCTGAAAGACGGCCCCGCCGCAAAACCACCCAAGCGGGACCCAGCACGGCCATAGATGCCTCCCAGGCGGCCCAAAAGGCTCCCAAAACGGCTCCAAGAGAGCGCCCACACGGGAGCCCGAACGAACAAACAGATAGAGCCCTCGGCCCAGGGGAGCTCCCAGGAGGCCCCAAGAGGTCCCGAAGATGCCCCCACGATGCCCCAAGAGGCTCCAAAGAGGCCCCAAGAAAACCGAGGAGACCCCCAAGCGGCTTCCAAGAGGCCTCCAATATGCACCCGAAAGGCATCAAAACTGCCCCCCCCCAGAGGCCTACAAGCGCGCCCCGACGAAGCCCTGCGAAGCATCCGTGAGGATTCTGCCCCACGTCAGCGCCGTCGCAGACGCCGCCTCCGCAGCCGCGGCCGCCGCCGCCGCCGCCGCAACCACCGCCGCCGCCGCCGCCGCCGCCGCCGCCGCCGCCGCCGTCGTCGTCGTCGTCGTCGTCGTCGTCTTCGTCGTCGTCGTCGTCGTCGTCGTCGTCCCCATTCAGGGTTGGCGGCACTAGCCGTAAGGCCTTCCAAATATTTGGAGGAGGGAGTGTGGACGAGAGACGGTGGAGGGAGGAGACGGATATGTAGGAGGAGGGTAGAGGGAGGACAGAAGAATGCAAAGTGAAAAGGAGGGAGGGATGAGAAAGGGCAGGGCAGAGGAAGGAGGGATGACGGATGGAGGATGGAGGGGTCAGGAGGATGGAGGAGGATGGAGGGGTCAGGAGGGCGAATATATAAGGTCGCCGAAGGCGATTGGAAGGCCGCTCAGGGAGCGCTTGAGGGACCGCATTTGGGCCTCCTGGGGCCCCCGTGAGGCGCTTATGGGCAGGGTTGGGCGCCTCTTGGGCCGTCTCGGGGCCATCCTGAGTTTCTTGGGGTCCCCTCGGGGGCCATTTCGGCGGCCTCGGGGCGCTCTTTGGGGCCTCTCGGAGCCGCCTGGGACGCTGGTGGGACAGCAGAACAACAGATGCCGAAGATCTACGTTTCCGCGAGAAGTGTCGGCGGTGGACAAACCTCCCCTTAGTAGACCTCCCCTTAGTGAAAACAGCCTGGGACCGAAACCGACGGACCCGGACCCGCAAAAATGACGACCGCGACGCCCTCTCGCGAACCGAAAACGGCCAATGCCTTTATCGACGTGTCAGGGTAGGAGGCCTGTCCACCCCCGAACCCCCGAAAGGGGTGGGGCGATGCTTGCCGCTCGTGGCACTCGAGGAGGCTCTCTTGGAGCCATCCTGGGGCGTCTCAGGGGGGCCTTTCGGGCCGACGCCCCAAGAGGAAGCTCCGAGAGGGCAGGGGAGTACTTCGCGAAACCTGGGTGCCCCCGGTGATCTTTCGGCTACACGCAAGAGTGACCCTGGGTAAGAGACCTTTGGTGCGCGGCTCTTTGGGGGACCGCGGGGGGACTGGACCCAAGCGCGCAAGACGCTATGTATCGCATCGCGTTCGGCGATGGGGGGACCCCAATGGGCCCGCACCAAAGGCCAATCTGGCGAAGGGTCACTCTGACGCCTAGTCGAATCTTCGGCCCAGGGCCCAGCGGGGCCGGGCAAGGAGGGGCAGGAGCAGGAGGATAATTGGAGCCTTTGAAAACGAAGCGCAAGAGGAGGACACAAAAGCGGGAGGCCACCGTGCCCTTCCTTCACGCGTGCCCCTCCTGATGGCCGTCTGCCCATCCTGCCACCGTGCCTGGGTTGTTGGTGTGGCGCATCTTGAATGCATGTTCGGGTCTCTGGGGGAGCCTCTGGGAAGCCTTTTTGGATACAGGTTTGAACCCTTTCGGGGCGCGTTTCGGGGCCTCTTTTGTGGCCTTTGGGTCCTCTGGGGGGGGGGCCTTGGGGGCCTGCTGGCGGTCTTCGGGGTCCTCTTGGGGCAGAGGCCTCGACATGTGAATTGGAATTCAATTCCCCCCCCCAGGCTTCTCTTGAGGCCCTCTTGGGGCCGTCTTGGGCGGTCATGGGTGCCTCTTGAGCCGTCTTGACGTCTTGGGCCGTCTTTGGGCTCTCCTGGGGGCCCCTCGTGCTGTCTCGGATGCTGGCAAGATAAAAAGAAAACATGTGCTAGAAATGTGCGTTTCCCATGGGAACTTGACGATTGTTGCCCATTCGTGCCTTCTTGGCGGCCCTCTTGGAGCTGTCTTGGGGCGACTTCGGGGCCTCTTGGGCCGTCTTGACGCCAACTGGGTCCGTTCGGAAGCCACGTTGGCCGATGTGGAACCCATTTATTTTGGACCTACCGCTCTAGCCGGAATCTGCGGGGGAGCCGGGGAAGATCCTGGGAGGCCCCGGGGGAGAAGGGGACACTCAGTGTATATCTGTGGGCCACTGGTGGTCTCCGGCACGGGCCCTCCGGGGCGGGGCAGCTGGCAGATGGTACGCATGTATCTACTGTTATATATATATAGAGAGAGAGGGAGAACACGACAGAGAAAGAGAGAAAGAGAGAGAGAGACAGAGAGAGAGAGAGAGAAAGAGAAAGAGAGAGAGAGAGAGAAAAAAAAAAACATACTACAAGATAATAACGAACAAAAAAGAAAGGGGGGAGAGAGAGAGAGAGAGAGGGAGAGAGAGAGAAAGAGAAAGAGAAAAGAAAAAGAGAGAGGGAGAAAACGAAAACGAAGGAGAGAGAGAGAGAGAAAGAGAGGAAAGATGAAGGTCCTGGCCTGTGAGTGGGCGCTGGCACTGCAGGTGGGTCTCCATCCTGGCCGTCGCCCGCACGGGGCGAGTGGTCCTTTGGCGGGCATTGCGGCGCCGCTGCTGGGGTGGGGGGTAAGGGGCGGAAGGGGCACCAGGGGGGTGAGAGAGAGAGAGAGAACGAGGACGAGGAGGACGAGGAGGACGAGGAGGAGAAGGAGGAAGAGGGGAAGGACGGGGAGGAGCTGCAGGAAAGGGAAGGTGCGAGGCGGGATTTTATATATACATACCCGTCGTCCAGGGAACCGACGTCCTGGGACCCCAACGGGTGAGACCGGCGTGAGATGGAGTCGCCCAACCGGGAAATCAATTCCGAATTCGATTTGTGTCGTGCATGACGCGCGTGCGGGCAAGGCGGAGCTGCGCGAGTTCCTGCTCTAATAGGGGCCAAGTCACTCCAAAATGAGTCGCCCTGGCCCTGACAGTGGGTGCGGGTTCTCCCGATGGTTGTTCCGATGGCTGACCCAATGGTTGTCCCGATGGTTGTTCCGATGGCTGACCCGATGGTTGTCCCGATGTTTGTCCCGATGGTTGTCCCGATGGTTGTTCCGGCGGTTATCCCGATGGCTCTCCCGATGGTTCTCCCGATGGTTGTCCCGATAGTTCTCCCGACGGTTGTCCAGATGGTTGTCTCGATTGTTGTCCCGAGGGTTGTCCTGATGGTTGTCCCGATGAATGTCGCGATGGTTGTCGCGATGGTTGTCCCGATGGTTGTCCCGACGGCTGTCCCGATGGTTGTCCAGATGGTTGTCGCGATGGTTGTCGCGATTGTTGTCCCGATGTTGTCCCGATGGTTGTCCAGACGGTTCTGCGAGGCCAGAACACAAAACATGCGCCCTGCGAGCAACATGATATAGAAATTGCACCCTGCGGGGCAAACACACATTCTTTACCCCCAACAAATGCGCCCTGCGGGGCAACCTGCAAAAAACACAATTTTGACACAGATAGATCTGCCAATATTATAGTTCAGACCCTAGGACGCTCCCAGCCTCTCGGGGTTAGTTCGGCTGCTCTTATCAGCAGCATCATTAATTAGCATCAGCACCATCGTCATCAACAGCAGCAATTTCAGCATTCATCCTCCTGGTCTTCCTTCTCATCGTTCTCCTCCTCTTCTTCCTCCACTTCCACATGACGCTCCCCCCTTCACGGGACGGCCCCAAATGGACCAACACGGCCCCCTCTCGGACCCTTTTCCCCGTCCTCCTCTCTCTCCCTCCGCACTTCCCCCTCAAATTAACAGTAAACACTGAACTTCATGATTTGGTTAACCGGTTGTTTCTTCGATCAGGTCGTTTCTGGTTTGTCCAAAATTGTGCTACCGCTGCAGCGCCGCCCTCATTTCCGCGATTCGGTCCTTCAAAATCGTGCTCCCGCTGCAGAGCTGGCCTTCGGACCCGCGCCTCCCGACGGCACTTGGCATGCGAAAGCGCCCACATGGGGTAGTCACGGTCGCGGAGGACATGGAGCAGGCCTTCCGGAGAGGCCCTGTTCTCTCGTAGACGAGCTACTTATCTTCCAAATCATCTGGTGCCGTGCCACGGCATGCAATGCGATGCTGTGTTGCGCACCGCTGTGCGATGCCATGCTTTGCGTTGCTATGCTTTGTGATGCAATGCTTCACTACGCAATGCCACGCCATGCCATGACATGTCATGGTCTGCCGTGCTCTTCTACGCCATGCTTATCCATCCATCACGTACCCTCTTGGGATTAGTGCCCTGTTCGACATCCGATTGTGCAAATAGATAGGTGATCTACGCCATGGTAAGGGATGCGAGGGAGGGGCAGGACGTCAGATGTAACGCTAGCGCACCTAGTGTGCCTCCCCATCCTCCCTTCTCTACCCTTTCCAGCTTGAAATCTCGGACGACGGCCTCAATCTCAATCATTCCCTCTTTTATCCTCGTCCATCGTCCCCCCTCCATCTTCTCTCCTCCCTCTTCGATCATCTCATCTCTTCCTCATCCATCCTCCTCCACATCATTTTGCTCCTCTTCTCTCCTCTCCACCCGCTCTCCTACCTCTGCTTCCGCCTCCCACCCGCCCGCCAAAATCCCCTGTACCATCCAGTGCAGGAGCCTAATCCCCATTTGCAGGACCCCAGTCTGACTCACCCTCATCCTCCCCCCCTCCTTCCCCCTCTTCCCCCCTTCTCCCTCATCGGTGAATGAGGGATGCTCATCCCTTCCTCACTCCTCGTGCCTTCTTTCCTTCACCACTCCCCACCCAAATACTCCTTCCTCTTCCAGACTCCTCCCGCGCAAAAGTGTCGCGATAAGTCCAGAATGGAAGGAGCGGGTGAACAAGGATGAGAGGAGGATGCTCACAGAGGGAGTGAGGAAGAAGAATCGGATGGGGAGGTGGACGGCGAGGGGGGACGGGGGAGGCAAGATAATAATATGTTTACCCCTGTTTTCCCTTCACACCCAGATGCCGCCTGGGACTTCCACGTCGCCAAGTGAGGTCACCAGCCCTGGGCTCCCACAGGCACCTCCTCGGGCTCCTCCTCTAGTTCCTCCTCCTCCTTCTACTTTTCCTCCTCCTTCTCCTCCTCCTCTTCCTCCTCCTCTTCCTCCTCCTCCTCCTCCTCCTCCCTATCATCATCCTTCTCATACCTGGCCTCCTCCTGCGTCCACTTCCGAGAGCTAGCGTCAGATTCAGGCCAATTTGACCACATGTGACATACATACGTGTGATGTATGCCGACACGTGAGCCAACTCACTGCAACTTGCACAGGGAAACTCTCATATTTGTAGAATTGGTATCTGTGCTTAGCGTGGCACCCGGATGACTACTTATTGATTGCCCGCTTGGGCCTTCTCAGGCCCCTCTGGAACTTCCAGGAATCGCAAGGTGCTACGGCCCCGAGAGGGGCCCAAATCATAGAAACGATGGGATCGAGGTGTGTCGGGGATTCGATGTTCTGCTATACAGAGCGCCGTGCCCGTGTCCACCCTGCCGCAGACGTGGCGGAGCGCGTCAACAAGGCACCCATTGAGGACAACGCTGCGGTGGAGGAGTACGACATCGCCTCGCACACCGAGTCATCCGAAGAGCTGCCCACATCATCGGAGCAACACTCCGACGAGGTGCAGGATCAGTACACAACCGAGGACAGGAAGGCCGCCGAGGAGCAGGGCAGCTTCGCGAACAAGGCCAAGAGACCGCACAACGAGGCGACCGAGGAGCAGACCACTTCATCGGAGAAACACACCGAACAGTTCCAGGTACAGTACACCTCCGAGGTCACCCCCCAGGTGAAGGTATTGGCGTAACGGAGACAGCGGCGCCGCAACTGTGTATGATGGCGAAAGGACGCAGGACCCCCCTCGGAAGACGTGTCACAACACCACTCCTAGGACTTCACCGCCGCGAACCAACATTACTTTTGCGACATGAGCGTATCTGGGACGTCAACACCGCGAATCAAGGTGCCTGTCGCGCCCAGGCAATGCTAAACCGTGCCAAGACAGGAACTCCTGGGACGTCAGCCATCATAATCCATAGAACTGCTGCGAACTTGTCAGAAACGAATGCGCGCGGCACTGAGGCGAAAACCACATCTTGAAAACGACGCGCCCTCAGACCCGGCTCGGGGCGCGACAGGGGGGAATGGTGCAGCAGGAGAAAAGATAGAATGCGAGGAGAAGGAGGAGGAGGACGCGGGGGAGGAGCAGGAAAAGCATGGAGGCTCGGTCGGGGGAGGGCGGAGGACGCACCGCGGCGGGCTCCTCCTCGTCCTGCTCGTGCGCCTCCTCGCTGACTTTCTGCAGCCGCCTCGCGCGGGCCGCCAGGGGGGCGCCGGCAGGGCGCGTCTGGATACCGAGGCGGGGATCCGTTGCTCTCTCGCGGCCCAGCCCCTTCCTCCTCCTCCTCCTCCTCCTCCTCCTCCTCCTCCTCCTCCTCCTCCTCCTCCTCCTCCTCCTCCTCTTACTCCTTCTCCTCGTCCCTCCCTCCTCCCTCCTCTCTCCTCAATCCTCCCCTTTCTTCTCCTTCCCCTCTCCGAGTCTCAGGATCCCCGCGGCTCCACCCCTCACCGCTCCCATGACGGAGGCTCCACCATCGGGCACTTTGGGCAACGACCCTGCGAACCCCACCACCCTCCGACGCGGGCGACGCCGCAGAGCCCGAACACGAGGCCCTAAGCGTGGCAACCTCCAGCGGGCTTCCAAAAGGTACCCGTCGGTGAGCATCAATCACAACACCGCGGCCCTACCCGCATGCGCCCCGCGCTCTGGGACGTCCACGCGGAGACGCGCCCGGAACCCGGAGGGGGGCCCACAACAGTGCGGTGACACGCCGTGCAGTGACCTCGACATGCCCAAAAGATTTCACCGGACGGTCCGTCACCTCACGTATTTGGGACCTCAGATGAGCCAGTCGCCCGAGAAGTCCTCGGGAAACGACCCGAATTCCCAAATCGTGCGGTCACCGCACCGCTCGGGGGCCCCCGAGCCCATAGGGTCGCGGCTGGGGGCGGGGGGTCAGGGACCGCGAGGCCGAGGAAGTGGGCACGTGAGAAGCGACCCCCTGCGAGGGGCTAGGCAACGGGCCAGGGCGGGGGTCCAGGGGCGGGCGAGGCCAGGGGCCCACAGCAGGGGCGCCCGCTGGGCACCTCCTTGAACCGCTCGACCACAGTACTTTGCACTCATCGGTCGGAAGAAATACGTGGAAACTTGGAGAGGAAGGCGTTGAAAACAGATTGGGTGTCCGTCCGCCCCTTTGGGACGGCAGAAGAGGTGAAACCGCTCGATCCTTGGAGCACGAAGGAGTAGATTGGAATATGGGACTCCAAAAACACTTACTTTCAGCGACCGATGGGTGCATGCACTCCTGTTAGCTGGAAGGATGGAGGACGGCTCCCTCTCTCGAGAGGGACCCTCGCCAGAACGGCGGGCCCACGGTGCGCTCGTCTCTCGGTGGAAGGACGTGCCACCAGCGGGGACCAGTGAGAAGGGCCTGGACGGGAGGGTGCAGTTCAGTATCGCTGACTCGTTCAGGGCCTGCTCCGATCCTCCTCCCCCTCCTCCTCCCCCTCGTCCTCCTCCTCCTCCTCCTCCTCCTCCTCCTTCTCCTCATCCTCATCCTCATCCTCCTCCTCCTCCTCCTCCTCCTCCTCCTCATCATCCTCATCCTCATCATCATCCTCATCCTCATCCTCATCCTCATTATTATCATCATCCTCATCATCCTCATCATCATCATCATCATCTCATCATCATCATCATCATCATCATCATCATCATCATCATCATCATCATCATCATCATCATCATCATCATCATCATCATCATCATCATCATCATCATCATCATCTCATCATCATCACCACCACCACCACCACCACCACCACCACCACCACCACCACCACCACCACCACCACCACCACCACCACCATCACCATCATCATCATCATCATCATCATCATCATCATCATCATCATCATCATCATCATCATCATCATCATCATCATCATCATCATCATCATCATCATCATCATCATCATCATCATCATCATCATCATCATCATCATCATCATCATCATCATCATCATCATCATCATCATCATCATCATCATCATCATCATCATCATCGTCATCATCATCATCATCATCATCATCATCATCATCATCATCATCATCATCATCATCATCATCGTCATCATCATCATCATCATCGTCATCATCATCATCATCATCATCACGCGCCTCGTCCTCCTCCTCGCCACATCATCTCCCCCCATCATCCACGGGCCGACGACCGCACCCCAAATTGGAGCACGGCACAGCCGGCCTGGCCCGCGTGGTGGCAGGATGGCAGCAATGCGACAAGTACGCTCCTGCTCTGCCGCCTCGCCATCCCGTGCAGACTCGCCCGTCGCCCTCCGCCGCCCCGTCGGCCGCTCCTCCCGCTCCCCACCCCTCCCTCATGCCCCCTCTGACCAGGGAGGGGGGGGCATGAGATTGTGAAGAAAGGAAGGGAGGAGGGAAGGAAGGAAGGGGAGGAGGAGGAGGAGGAGGAGGAGGAGGAGGAAGGGCTGGTTGCTTGAGTGTTGTTGCGCTGGGGGCATCTGTCGGCTTCCACTTGCGGTCTCCGCTGCCCCTCAGCAGTCCTCAAGCAGGAGACGCAGGAAAACAAAGCAACATAACAAATATGACTAGGACTTCGGGGGGGGGAACTTCTGGGAGTGGCCTCGGATCAGGGATGTTTGTCCGACATCATGGTTCTAATGGTTTCTATTGTTTCATTATTGTTTGAAATGGTGTACGTCATCCCAGCCTCCAGCTGCGAGTGGCACAAATAAGAGGAAGAGGAGACATTAAAAGGATGACGAGAAGGAGGAGGAAAGCCTGTGGGCGCCTGTGGGCGAGGGTGTTTGCCTTCGGGATGATGCGCCTGGGCGCCCTTTTAGCGGTGTGGCTGTGTGACATCCCCGTGCCCCATCCGCTGCAAAGGACGAAACGGAGGACCAGCAACCAGTGTAAAACATAGGAGTTCGGGTCAGAGGACCAGCAACCAGTGTAACAACCATAGTTATCCGGTGTTTGAAGTTTTCGGTGGGTCTATGCGCGCAAGTAGACAAATCCACACACGCCTGGAGGAAAACAGAACACCTGGATAACTTGTTTTTGTCATCGGACCTGGCAAAATGTTGTTTTAAACTGGTTGATTGTCTTAGCCCGCTCGTGCGCACCCCATTGGAGGCTCTGTCATTCAGCCTAATGGCGCTCAAGCACGAAAGATTGCATACAATAGATTCGTTATCACGGGTTCCCTAACGATGATTTGTCAGGAAGGGTTCCGTAATCAAGTCCTTGCTTAGGCCCCCGTAAGAAAAATGCGCCTATAAGAACTCCTGGAAGGGGTATAGAAACCGGGGGGGAAGGCTATCCTAGGGCCTACCCAAAGCCCTAAGGTAGCCTACGGTAGGGCCTAGCCAAGGCCCTAGGATAGCATAGGGTAGGGCCTACCCAAGGCCCTAGGGTAGCCTTGGGTAGGGCCTACCCAAGGCACTAGAGTAACTTTGGGTAGGGCCTACCTCAGACCGTACGGACAAGCTTGACGTACGCGTGAGACGTAGGCCTAGGGTAGGCCTACGGGGAAGGCCTAGAGGTAGGTCTAGGGTAGGCCTAAGGGAAGGGCCTGGGGGTAGGCCAAGGGTGGGTCTGGGAGAAGGCCTAGGGGTAGGCCTAGGGTAGGCCTTGGGGAAGGGCCTAGCGGAAGACCAACGGCAGGCCTATGGAGAACACCAACGGGCGGATGGGGGCGGGCGGGCGGACCCTAACGGGCGAGTCGGGTGGGCAGGACATTAAAGCGCAGGGCATACACGAGCGAGCACGCGTGAATCCGAATGGGCGGGTCGGGTCGGGCGGGCGGGGCCGGGTCAGGCGGGCGGGACATTAAAGTGTGGGGCATACACGAGCGACCACGCGCAAACCCCAACGGACGGTTCGGGTCGTGCGGGCGGACCTTGGAAGACGGTTCGGGTCGTGCGGGCGGACCCTCGCGGGCGGGTCGGGTCGGGCGGGCAGATCATTGAAATGTGGGGCGTGCACGAGCGAGCAACGCACACCCTACGGGCGGATCAGGTCACACGGGCAGACCCTAACGGGCGGGTCGGGTCGGATCGGGCAGACCCTAACGGGCGGGCCGGGTCGGGCGGCCAGGACATTAAAGTGCGGGGCATACACGAGCGAGCACGCGTGAACCCCAACGGGCGGGTCGGGTCGGGCGGGCGGACCCTAACGGGCGGGTCGGGTCGGGCGGGCGGGGCATTAAAGTGCGGGGCATACACGATCGAGCACACGTGAATCCTAACGGGCTGCTCGGATTGGCCGGGCGGTCCCTAACGGGCTGGCCGGGTCGGGCGGGCGGGACACTAAAATGTGGGGCATACACAAGCGAGCACGCGTGAACCCTAACGGGCGGGTCGGGTCGGGCGGGCGGACCCTAACGGCGGGTCGGGACGGGCGGGCGGACCCTAATGGGCGGGCCGGGCGGGTGGGACATTTAACTGCAGGGCATCCACGAGCGAGCACGCGTGAACCCTAACGGGCGGGTCGGGCCGGGCGGGCGGACCCCAACACGCGTGAACCTGAACGGGCGGGTCGGGCGAGGCGGACGGACCCGAACGGGCGGTTCGGTCGGGCGGGACATTAAAGTGCCGGGCATACGTGATCGAGCACGCGCGAACCCCAACGGGAGAGTCGGGCCGGGCGGGCGGACCCCAACGGGCGGTTCGGGTCGGGCGGGCGGACCCTCGCGTGTGGGTCGGGTCGGGCGGGCAGACAATTATAGTGTGGGGCCTACACAATCGAGCACGCGTGAACCCTAACGGGCGGGTCAGATCGGGCGGGCGGACCCCAACGGACTGCTCGGGTCGGGTCGACTGGACCCTAACGGGCGGGTCGGGTCGGGCGGCCAGGACATGAAATGGCGGGGCGTACGCGAGCGAGTACGCGTGAACCCTAACGGGCGGGTCGGATCGGGCGGGCGGACCCGAACGGGCGGGTCGGGTCGGGCGGGCGGACCCTAGGGAAGGCCTAGGGGAAAGGCCTAGGGGGCAGGCTTGGGTTAGGCCTAGGGGAAGTGCCTCGGGGTAGGCCAAAGGCAGGCCGAGGGAAAACGCCTAAGGGTAGGCCTAGGGTAGGCCTGAGGAAAAAGGCTAAGGGAAAGGCCTAGGGTAAGCCTAGGGGGATAGGGGTAGGCATCACTGGGTATCGCCCTAGGGAAGGCCTAGGGGAAGGGCCCAGGGGCAAGCCCAGGAAAGGCCCAGG